GACAAAGGACTGGTATTGAGAATACATAAAGAACTCTCCAAACCCAAGAGTGAGAGCAAACAATCCAATTAGAAAATGGGCAAAGAACATGAACGGACATTGCACTGAAAAGGATATACAGATGGCAAGTAAGCACATAAAAATATTTTCAACATCATTAGCCATCAGGAAATGCAAATTCAAATCATAATGAGCTATCACTACACAACTATTGGGATGACTAAGATAAAACACGGTGATAACACCAAATGCTGGCGGAGATGTGGAGAAACTAGATCACTCATAGATTGGGATGTAAAATGATACAGCCACTCAGAAAAAAAAAATTGTGATGGCCTCTTACAAAATGAAATATGCTTACTGTACTACTCAGCAATTGTATTTGGGGGGTATTTACCCCAGACAAGTAAAAACTTCTGTTCACTCAAAAACCTGTACATGAATGCTCATGGCAACTGTATTTGCAATAGCCAAGAACCAGAAACAATCCAAATGTCCTTCTCCAGGGGAACCATTCAGTAAACCGTGGTGCGTCCACACCATGGAACACCACTCACCAAAGCAAGGGGTATACTCTGGATACACACAACACCTGGGATGGATCTCAAGGGAATTATGCTGAGTGAATAAGCCCATCTCAAGAGGTTACATAATGTATTATTCCATTTATAGAATATTCTTTTTTTTTTTTTTTTTTTTTTTTTACAAAGCATCACATCATTTATAGAATATTCTTGATGACAAAATTATAGAGAGGGAGAACAGGGGTCCAGGAGGGGAGAGGGAGGGAGGTGGCTGTGGGTACAAGGGGGTAGTAGGAGAGATCACTGTGATGGAATTGTTGTACATCTTGACTGCGGTGGTGGACACACAAATCTACACATGCGATAAAGTGGTGTAAATTAAACACACACACACACAACTGGTGGGATCTGGATAAGGGAGTTGGATTGTATCACCGCCAGCCTCCTGGTCGTACTGAAGTTACGCACGATGTTTGCCATCAGGGGAAACTGGGTGAAGAGTACACAGCCTCTCTCTGCAGTCTTTCTTACAACCCCATGTGAACCTACCGTGATCGCAAAGTGAAAAGTTAAAAAAAAAAAAAAAAGTATTGAGGACTGCAAAGAGATTTTGTTCCTGTGGGCCATATTAATTGGAATCTGCTATATTAGAGATTAAAATGGAGATTTTTTTAGGTATTTATTACCTTTAAAACAATAATAAGCCCATCTTATGTTAATATAGACAAATCGTTTTTTTATGAAATATATTTTTGAAAAATAGTGAGAAGAGTAACACTGTTTTACAAATTTACACAATTCTCTTTATGTCTGGCTTCACAGACAACTGATTCTCCTGTCTGCTTCTGCATTATAATATGTTGTGATAAAAGACATCATACAGTTTCTGGAAAATTCCACCATACACATAAGAAAAATTAAGAGTGAAAGGGGCAAATAATGTCTTAGTGTTATTATGAAAATAGTTTTGGCCTCATGGATCCCCTCAAAGGGTCTCAGGGCCCCCCTTTGGAAATTCTTGCATTATTGTGATCATTTTTACATACATTTGCGCCTGCACTTAGTGAGGACAGGGAGAACATCTTTTTCATCTTTGTATTCCAAGCACCTTATACAGTGCCTGGCAAAAAGCTGATACCCAATAAATATTTGATGAACCAATGGAATATTAACAACTTGTTAGCCCTTGGAGAGGGCGAGAGAGAGCACCAACTGATTGACAATATAGGCTTTAGACTTTTTTAGTTCTGAGTCAGAATAAAGGTCAGAGTGTTCTGGCATAGCTTGGTCCCAAAGAACAAACATTGTTCTGAGAAACCAGGAGGCTCCTGGGGCATGAAACATGGGTTTGCAATGACTGAGTGGTCTTTTGAGAAAGGTCTCACTGTGTCAACATTTCTCACAAGTTTTGACCTTGAGGCCTCTCCACACCATTCAGAACAAACATGGGAAGATGGGGGCTTCACGGGTTGTGTGGAGACGTAATGAATTCTTTCTCCTGCATTATTATCCTCCTACACCTAACCCCCAGGTCATCCCCAAAGCACCCACTGGTGGCCAGTCTCAGTCCACTTGGTCCACAGCCATTCTGGGAAGAGAAAAACAGTTCTAACCACCATTCCAGATTACAAATTGGTTCTCATTTCTCATCCAAAGAATTCACCAAAGCACAATTGAGCAGGGAGCACAGAAAAACAGCCGAAGCTGAAAGATGTTCGTTAGAATCCACTCTGCATCAGACACTGAGCCAGACCTGTGGAATATTCCACCATGACAAAGCTCATGCCCCTCCCGCTCCCCGGTCTCCCAGCCAAGGAACTCCTGCTCCAGTGGAGAGATGACTTGAGTCTACGCTAGGCAGCAACCAGGGCTCTGAGGTGGAGAGAGAAACCATCTCTCCTAAGATCAGGGAAAAGAGGGGCACCTGGGTGGCTCAGTCGTTAGGCATCTGCCTTCGGCTCAGGTCATGATCTCAGTGTCCTGGAATCGAGCCCCGCATCGGGCTCCCTGCTCCACGGGAAGCCTGCTTCTCCCTCTCCCTCTCCCCCTGCTTCTGTTCCCTCTCTCGCTGTGTCTCTCTCGGTCAAATAAATAAATAACCTTAAAAAAAAAAAAAGATCAGGGAAAGGAAGTGCGTTTGATTTTGTCCTTGAAAGGCAGGAGAGGGCTGTTGCCAGGCAGATGGTGGGTCAGCACACTAGCACATTGGGGAAGAGAGTTGTGTTCACACAGACCTCAAGTAATGGCGCCTAATAAAATGGAAGCTTCTTCATGTATCACAGTCCAGGCTTAAGTGGTCTAGAGCCCCTACTGTGTCAGGGACTCAGGCCCCTTCCCTCCTGATGCTCCACCATACCTGAGGCACAGCCCTCATCTGTTTGCGTGGTTCCAAACCATCATGTCTGTATTCCAGCCGGTGGACATGGGCAAGCGGAAGGGCAGACATGTTCTTTCCTTCTGGGGGCACAAGTAGGAAATTGCACACTCCACTTCTGCTCACATCCCATGGGTCAGAACACAGTTGCAAGGGAGGCTGGGAAATGGGATTTCAAAATGTGAGCTTCTGTTGCTCTATAGAAATTGGGGGACAGCTAAGGGTTTCTGGCCCCAAGCACAGAGGTGAGAAAGTGCAGGGAGGTTTGAGGAGCCAGTAGCTAGGTGTGTTTAGAAGTTGCAGGAAGGAAAAGGAAAGGGGAGTGAGGGGCATATGATGAAGAGGGGCCCCTTCATTCTGTAAGTCAGTGGTGCCCAAACTGGAGTGCCCATCAGCATCACCGGATGGCTTTGTTGAAGCCCGAATGCTGAGCCCCACCTCCAAGGAGTCTGATTCAGCAAGTCAACGGTGAGGCCCGAAAATGCACATTGCTAATCAGTCTCAAGTGCCACTGGTGCTGCTGATCCAGGAACTTTGAGAAAGGTGGGGTCACAGAAAGTTTTAAAGAGGAGAATGAGATGACAAGGTCTGTATTTCAGAAAACTTACTCTGTTCAGCAATAGGGAACGAGCTGTACCGAAGCCTCCCGGAGCACGAAAACTTCTCACCCTCTTGATCCTTAGTGTTCCTGAGAAATCTCACTCAAGAAAAACAGGGATGATAAAAAGCCTGCAAAGCAGAGTTCACAGAACTCCAGTGCTCAGGGGTCGCTCCCTACTTCCTGGAGGGCCTGATGGTGTCAGTATCAACCTGGACCCACCAGTTCTTTGCATTGTGTGCAGAAGCCTGGATACGGGTGAGGGCAGGCAAGTCCCTTTCCTCCCTGGACCTGGGTTTCTCCAGCAATAAGAATCATGAGGATCATTTACCTATCCGGGTGCCAAGGACTGTCAGATGGCACAGATGAAAAAGCTGGACAATGTCCTGAGGCTATGGGGACTCACCGACCCACTACGCCAGGGGTTGGAGAGTAAATTGGACTCCCCACGAAGGGCAATTTGACAATCAAATCAGAATTTAAGATGTCTATGCCCTTTGACCCAACAGCTTCATTTCCAGGAAATAAGCCTATAGATACACTCGTGTTTATGTGCAAAAGACAGGTCGTTCAGTGCCCATTGTTCGTACTGGCAAGAGGTAGGAAACAACCTAAAAGTCACCCACAGGGGACTGGTTAAATAAACCATGGTGCTTCCACAAACGGAATAATGGGCAGTCCTTAAAAATAAGCTAGATTGGGGCGCCTAGGTGTCTCAGTTGGTTAAGCGACTGCCTTCGGCTCAGGTCACGATCCTGGAGTCCCTGGATCGAGTCCCGCATCGGGCTCCCTGCTCGGCAGGGAGTCTGCTTTGCCCTCTGACCCTATCCCCTCTCATGTGTTCTCTCTCATTCTCTCTCTCTCAAATAAATAAATAAAATCTTTTAAAAAAAAAATAAGCTAGATCTAGGGGTGCCTGTTTGGCTCAGTTGGTTAAGCGTCTGCCTTCGGCTCAGGTCATGATCCCAGGGTCCAGGGACTGAGCCCCACATCGGGTTCCCTGCTCAGCGGGGAGTTTGCTTCTCCCTCTCCTTCTGCCCCTCTCCCTGCTCATTCTCTCTCCCTCAAATAAATAAATAAAATCTTAAAAAAATAAAAATAAAAATAAGCTAGATCTATGAGCCAGTTTATCTATCATAGATAGATAAGGATGAGAATGATGATGATGATGATGATGATGATGGATAGAGATAGATATATGTATGTCAGTGAATCTCCCTTTCTCATATACATATATATGATATGTGTATGTATCTCACATGAGATGTATATATGATACATATATGGCTGGGGCTAAATACTGTCATGATATGCTGCCATTTAAAAAAATATACATGTGTCAAGAAGATCACACACACACACACACACACACACGCACGCACGCACGTGTACCGTTTATATATGCTTACATATCTCTGGAAGGATTTGGAGAAACAGGTTGCCTTTTGGGAGAGGAATTGGAATGGAAGTCCAGGTTGACAAGGAAACTTTTGTAACATTTGTTTGTTTGTTTTCAACTCTCAGTATGTATCATTTATTTAAAAAAACATACAAGCAATGCCTTGTGCTTTACTTGCTTCATCTCACTATATCTTCAGAGTAATCTAGAGGCGAAGTACTCTTATGATTCCCAAGGCACGGGGAGATTCACTCATTTGGGGGAGTGATGTGGGGGTGGAAGGAGCCTTGATGTATAAGGTTTGCCAATTCCCATGGGGTAAATTCTCCCACCGTGGCAATTTCAAGCTGCCAATGTGATGTCACTGAGCAGAGCTGGGAAGAGATGCACACGATCAGCTCTCACGGGTCCGCAGGAACCAGCTCCAGCACACACCTGTAATGGACCCTTGCACTCGGAAGGGAGGCACCACTGACTTCCCACTTCAAACCTGAAATGGTCGCCTTTCAAGAGCAAAACAAATATAAGTAAATATATCACTTCAGGACCTAAGAGCAGCTTCCGGGGGGTCTTCAGACATAGATGCCGGAGCATCTATTTAGAGTGTAAATAACCTGCCTTGTTCTGCAATGGATTTGAAACAGAAACCCAGAAATTAAAATTAAGCATCTGGGTTTTATATTTGCAAATTGCTCTGCCGTTCTCTTTATGAAATACTGCACACAGCTATACAAGCAGAAGGCAATAAAAGAATAATAAATTAATCAGTGTTAGCATTCTGTCAACACAGCCCCACAGACTTACCAGAGCCAGCCATCTAAATTAGGAAGCTGGTTTAGAAACTTTTCCAGTGCTTTAATGGGAGAGGTGGGGGCGAGAGGGCCAGATACACTTGGATTTGAGTTGTGCTCTGGCTCTGCCATCTGCTAGGCACCTTGGGTAAGTCACCTTACCTTCTGCATCTCAAATTACACACATGTTAAGTGAGGATAGTGGCACCACACGGATTTGCACAGCCAGGTTCACCACGTTTAATAGGTGAGGTTAACATGTGGTTAAGTATCTGGACATAAGGCAGGGTGTTTATCCCTAAAAAATTACCCCACGACATAAAGTGAGAGTTGCCTTATATTTAAGTTCTTACAAAAGCTTACAGAATGTTATGTATTCCCTAGACTCTCAATTACTTGATTTTAAGCAACAAAGTATCTTTGAGGAAGACCAATTTATAGAAGTCACCGGATGGAAGTGGTTTCAAAAAAAAAGCAAACAATCTTTGACACAGACATAGTCGTTATACTGGGGGTTGGCCTCACAACCCTATAATGAAGCCAGCCTTCTAAAGATGACTTTAAAAGCAACAAATTAAATGCTAGGATGTTGTGATCGCGAATATAAACCGATGGGACAGACGGAAAAACAATAGTGTCCTAAGATTAAGTGAATCGGGACTTCGAGGTTAAAATCTTTCAGCAAGAGAATCAATACAGGCTCAAAAAGTGCTGCATCACACACAATTTCAATAGGAGTGAAATTTATGTGATCTAGAAAGTGAGTTGGGTGATTCAGAAACCATCCCTGGTAATAATAACGATCCTAGAATCAAAGACGCACAGGAAGAGATGGAATAAAACTGTTTTGTAAAATGTGAGAGTGGAAAAAAACCAGTATTTCTCAATTAAGATATTATTTATTAATATATATTTAAACTTATTTAAATATATTAATCTTGAAAGTATGTGCATACCTAAAGTAATAAATTAAATATTACACATAGACATTTGATTATTTCATCTACAGCCTTAAGAATTGATATATTTGAGTTCATCCCCCCAAATATTTTCCTTTTTGCAATCTTCTTATTGTGAAAAATGGGAGGGTCACCTTATATTTAGGACTACCAAATATGGAGAGAAGTATGTGCAAGCACTTAAAACCCAACACAGCTCCGTGTGATTTGCGACAGATACTGTTAGGGTTGTTAATACTATTTTTTATTATGATTGTTGCACCACAGGCTGGGCTCTTTGATTGTGCTCCCGAGAGCACTTACCTGGATTGGAATTCCCTGATCTTCTCCTTCCTAGCCGTGTGATCTTGGGCAAGTTGCCTAACCTCTCTGTGCCTCATCTGTAAGAAAGAAATAATAGTAGGACCTCTCAATAAATTAGTATATGTAAGAAGTGTTTGAACCAGTACCTGGTAAGTGCTTCTTTAATATTATTACCATTACACTCACCAATGGAGACCTGTATTTTTAAACGTGGCGGGTTTCCTCACAATGCAGTGAGATTTTATCAGCAGGGAACTTGTCTTGCTCTTCCAGATCCCCAGCTCACACAGAGGGCCAAGTGCCCAGTAAATGTTGGCTGGACCAATAATGAGTTCTGTAGAGAGAGGAAGGCAATGTGTCATGTTGGGGGCCCAGCACAGCAGCGGATAACACTTTGAGGTTGATACCTAGAGTGCAGCCTCATTCCTCACTGGCCAACTAAAATCGAAAGTAAAACTGCAGTGCAACAGAGCCGGGCAAAACTGTAGACTGGAATTGGTACAACCACTATGGAAAACAGTACGAAGTTTCCTCAATAAATTAAATATAGACCTACCATAGGATCCAGCAATTCCGCCTCTGTGTGTTTATCCAAAGGAAACTAAAATGTTAACTCGAAAAGTATGTGCACCCCCGTTTATGGCAGCGTTATTTACAATAGCCAAGATATAGAAACAACCTGAGTGTCATGTCCGTCAATGGACAAATGGATAAAGAAAATGTGATATACATATATAGGAATACATGTATTATATAGAGGAATATATATATTATAGATGATAGATAGATAGATAGATAGATAGATAGATAGATAGATAGATAGATAGATAGGAATATTATTCAGCCATAAAAGGAGTGAGATCTTGCTATTTGTGACAACATGGATGGAATTTGAAGGCATTATGCTAGTGAAATAAGCCAGAAAGAGAAAGACAAATACTGTAATGACCTCACTTATATGTGGGAACCTAAAAAAAGAAAAAACAAAACCCCCCAACAACCCAAGCTCACAGATACAGAAAGCAAATTAGTGGTTGCCAGAATTGGGCAGATAGGTGACGTGAGTGAAGGGGGTCAAAGGTTCACATTTTCCGTTATAAAATAAGTAAGTCAAGGGGAGGTCATGTACAGCATGGTGACTATAGTTAATAATACTGTATTACATATCTGAAAGTTGGTAAGAGTAAATCTTGAAAGTTCTCATCCCAAGAAAAATAATGTAGTAACTATGTATGATGATCGATGTTAACCAGACTTGTTGTGGTGATCATTTCATTATACATACAAATAGTGAATCCTTACGTTGTACACCTGAAGCTAATATTATATGTCAATTATACCTCAATTTAAAAAAAAAAAAAGGCTATATGGAGCCTGGGTGGCTCAGTCGTTGGGCGTCTGCCTTCGGCTCAGGTCATGATGCCAGGGTCCTGGGATCAGTCCCGCATCGGGCTCCTTGCTCAGCGGGGACCTGCTTCTCCCTCTGCCTGCCGCTCCCCCTGTTTGTATGTTCTCTCTCTCACTCTGAAAAATAAATAAATAAAATCTTTAAAAAAACTAATAACCAAAAGACATACATTAAAGTTCAAATTATACAAAAATGTTGAGAGTAGAAGAATCACCTGAAGGGAATTCTTGGCATCTAGAGTATTATTTATCTAAATGTTCCTTTATGGATGCATGAAACTAACATGTAAGTACACAGGCTGTATCATGTGATGGTTTAAGACCACGAATCAGGTGTGCCCGTGTTTAAAATCTAGCTCCGCCTTTTTAGTGGCATGGCCTTGAGAAAATCACATAACCTCTCCGTGCCTCGGTTTCTTTTTATTTTTTAATATTTATTTATTTATTTATTTATTTGAGAGAGAGAGCTCAGCAGAGGGAGAGGGAGAAGCAGGCTCCCCGCTGAGCAGGGAGCCCCACGTGGGGCTTGACCCCAGGAAGCTGGGATCATGACCCCAACCAAGCAGAAGGCAGATGCTTAACCCTGACTGAGCCACCCAGGCGCCCCTGTGCCTCAGTTTCTATGGAGACTGGAGATGATGGAACCCACCCTCTAGGCTTATTGGAATAATAAGTCTAAAGAGAGCATTTAGGATAGCAACAAATACAGAGAAACAACTCAGTGAAGATTAGCAGTTATGAACGTACAAATATATATTAAAACAAAATATGAAGTCGCACTATAGATCCTAGTTTACATTTGCTTTTTTTTTATGTAACAGTATGCTGTGACTAGTTCCGTGCTAGTACATACAGAGCTAATTCCTTCTTTTTGATGGCTACATTATATTCAAATGAGTATGTAACTAATCCCCTGTCTCGGCTACCTGAGTATTTCTAATATTTTACTATTACAAATAACCACAATAAAAATCCTCATTGCACATATATTGCTCCATCCTTGGGGACGTATTTCTATAGGATAAGTTCTAGAAATGGAATCTCTGGATCCAAGTATATGAATTTTTAACTATATTAATAAACAATGAGTTATCAAATTTCCTTCCTAAAAGGCTGTATCCTTTACACTCTGATCAGCAAGTGTACTTTGTCACCTTGTGGCTGTATACATTTCAACCTGATTCCCCAACCATTTATTTTGAATGTCCCAGTCGTGAACAGAATCAGGGACTTTGCCCTGCTACTTCTGCATTATATTCCCTTATCTTTCCAAAAATCATAAACAACTCCTAAGAACCTGGCAACTAATTTTCTGCAGCAAATGTTCAGGTACATAGCCTGGCAGAGAATTTTTATACTATTCCCAGATGGGAGAGGAAGAAAGGTTGGAATTCCTGAGCCTTTTCAGTGGCCAGTAGGAAGAACATACGAAATTAGAACAATCCATTAAGTTTGGGAAACGGTACCGGTTATCTGCTTGCATCTTTGTTTTCTGTGACTTGGACCCTCGTTAAAGAGACAAGAGGCCGCCTTTGCTGAGTCTGGCTGGGGACCAGAGTCTCTAGTGCAGAGTCCCCAGGGTGTGATTGGAGTACCTAACTACTTGCAGCTCTTCTGATGCCTTTAGGTAACATAGGACAACGGGTGGGCGTCAGAGCCAGAAGCTGAACAGCGCCACCAAGAGGACAGGCTGCTTCAGTGGTAGCTAAATCCCATGCCCACTTTCATTTTTAATTTAGATTTTAATCCAAGTAATAAATATACATAATGGTTAAGAGTTAGTTACTACTACAAACTAGATCCTATGACAAGGCTTATAAGAAGAATGCCACCTCCCTCAGTCATTAAGTGTCTGCCTTCGGCTCCGGTCATGATCCCAGGGTCCTGGGATTGAGCCCCGCATCAGTCTCCCTGCTCAGCGGGAAGCCTGCTTCTCCCTCTCCCACTCCCCCTGCTTGTGTTCCTGCTCTCGCTATCTCCCTCTGTCAAATAAATAAAACCTTAAAAAATAAATTAAAAAAAGAAGAATGCCACCTCCAAGTCTCATCCATGAAGCAGTAACTCATTCTGTGGTTGTCTCTTCAAACCTGATTATGGTGGCACTTCCAAGGTTTTTTAATTTTAGGCTTTTCTATTAACTTACAGCTATGGAGAATAAGAATTTAGTTTTCCTCTCTCTCTCCACTCTTTCTCTACACACACCCTCTCCAATTTTCCCCAAATAATTACAGCATAATTTTTGGTTAAATCAATGTGCTGTTTTTACATTATAATGACAATGTAATATTATTTCCAGCTAAGTGTTGTAGTTTATGATGATTACAATGTTTTTGTTATAAATCGTTTTTGTTTTCTTGGCTTTAACAATCACTGTGTGTCTTATCTGCTTAGTTTTCTCTGTAATAGCTCCAATCCATCTCCGAATTCTTTGCCAGAATGCCAATCCTTTATAATGGTCTCAGCTTTGTGCTCAGTCTAGGGGCAGCATAGTGTAATGTTGTGGTTCTCAAAGCGTGGTCGGTCCCTAGACCAGCAACTGTAAGAGCATCACCTGGGACCAAGCTAGAGATGCAAATGATCAAGCCCTACCCAAGACTTACTGATTAGCTGTCACTCTGGGGCTGGGGTCCAGCCATCTGGTTTTTTAACCAGCCCTCCTGGGGATGCCGGTATGCACCCAAGCTTGAGAACACCTGTACAAGCGTTAAGAGCTTGGATGCCCAAACCCATGGCTGCCTGGGGTTCGGATCCCAGCTGTTGCACTCGTTTGGGATGGAACGGCTTTCAGGGCCCAATCTTCCCATTCACTAAATGAGAGACGGTTTGTCTCTCCCACATAGTTGTTGTGAGCTCCTTGGTGTTGGGCAGTGTAACAAGCTCCAGTTTTCCTGGGGGAGACCCCTCCTGGAGCCCAGTGAAACCCATTCCAGTATGGGAGGGGAGTGCAAGCTGGCTGCAGAGCCTCCCCAGGCCTTCCTGGGTCCCCTACTCAGAATATGCCCTCCTTTAAGGCACCTACCTCGAGCCTCTGTCTTTCAGCACCTCCATAGCCCTCCGAAGTGAAGTCCCCTCCTCTACCCCTGTAGGAGCCTCACCTCCCCCTGCTACAACCACCAATTCGCAGCATTCTCTGCCAGAGCCCCTTGCCACCCAGCCCCACCCTCCCTCCTCATCCCCCTCTCAC